CACAGAACAGAAGGCTAACCCAAGTGCTACGGTGACAGAACGATCAAAACCTAATCACAATATTCCACAATTAATACTGTGGTACCACAAATTCAAGTAAAATCATCATTAGCACTACCCCTAATCACAGTGCTATTTCTGTCCTTCTCCACATAACTGAACACCTCCAAATTTATTCTTATATCACAAACTAAACCTTTAAATCCCTGTTAATCGTTAACCCTCGGTGTGTGAACAGTGCCTATGAACAGTACCCATGAGCAGTAACTACGACGTGAACAATAACTCCAACTTCCAACAATTGGCCCAAATACTAGCTAATTCACGGGATTTTCTCTATAAAATTCATAGCAGCCAAATTAAGCTAATTCTACCTAAACCAAGCACAAAAACACATTTAAATGCTACCGGAATTCCTCCCCCCATTTTAGCAAAATTCGACAAGCACAGGGCAGCACTTAACGGACAAAACCCAGCAATTAAATGGGTAATTTTAGGCTTAAAGGAGCTGTCACATACCAGAATTTAGCAAGCAAAACCGAGCCTAGCAGGGGGGAGAAGCCGGCGGCAGAGAAGAAGAAATTCTGCAGGGGAACTCGCGGCAGAAAAAGCCCAAAAACCTCACACCCACATAGCAGCCGACGGACAGCAAGGGGAAGAACAACGCAGATCTGGGATTTTATGGGTTTAATAGGTGTTCTAGAACAAGAAAATAGGGGGAATCCCCAAGCTTTGCCCGATTTCCGGCCGGAAAATGGGTCGCGGTAGTTGGGGGGCTTCTTGGGTGCAGAGGGTTAGGGGAGAGGAAGAGCAGGGCACGCGGGTCTGATGGGGAAGGAAAGAAAGAAAGAAAAAAGAAAAAGAAAACCAATTGATCCTTATCCCAATTTCCTTTCTTTTTAGTCCCTCAACTTTTGAAATCTGACTATTAAGCCCCAGAACATTATTTTTCCTCAAATAAATCCCCTAACTTAATTGATAAAACTCCCAAAATTTTGGGATATTACAGCATGTTTCTTCGGAAGATATCAAAGAGGCAGATCCATGTTTGTATAGTAGCTACAAGCAGATCCTCGCTATGGATGCAGATGCCATTGATTCAGATGATCTAGGATTGACCTTTGTTAGAGAAGTTAAGGAGTTAGGATCCAAGAAAGTTATAGAGCTCTGCATCCTAGTTTTGTCCTCAGCCACGTGTTTTGCTTTTCTTCATCTTCATTTTTCTTCTCCTCGATGCTCTGCCTCCCCGACCAGCCCCCCCCTAAGCCACCGACTTCTTCCTCCTTTGAAAATCGGTAGAAGACCTGAAATTTCTTCTTTCCTTCTTGCTCAAGAACTGATTTTGGGGCTTAGAACTCTCATTAAACCCAGAATTTTCCCAGATCTGCTCGGTCTCTTCCTCCCCTGTCCATCGGGTTCTGTTGGGTGTGGATCCTTCGGCTTTTCTGGTAAGCCACAGCCATGAATTCATCTCTTTAGCTTTGAATTTGGCTTGGGTTTACCTTGAATTGTGTTTTGGTTTTTGGATTGGGTAGCCGCGAGTTTCCCTGCA